AGAGCGAGCATCAATCGTGCAACCCCCCCCAAAAGACCTTTAAATAACACTTAGAGTAATGGCGGGGGGGGGGGGCATAGCAGGTGGTCAAAGACAGGAGCCAAAGACTTGGGTTGGTTCTTTCTGGAGTCCTGATCTGGGGGGGCTGGGGGGGGTCACAGGTGCCCAACCTTAAATGTGGAGAGGTGGTGGGGGTCACTTCCAAAGCAGGGACCAAGTTGCCAATGCAGGTCATCCTCCGTTTACAAAACCCTTTGTTTACCGACCGTCTCGAAGTTACGACGGCGCTTTTAAAAACACGACTTCCGCGCAATCCTCACTCTGACGGCCACTGCAGTGTCCCTATGGCCGAAATTTGGCCTCTGGGCAGTGTGTTTACGGCAGCTGTGGAGTCAACCGCTCGCCATGTGCAGCCACCTGACAAGCAGCTCATGGGGGGGGGGAAGCCGGATTTGCCGAACGGCCGAGATTCATTTAACGACGGCAACGATCCGCTCAAGCACCGTGAGCAAAAGGCATGACATCAAACGAGACTCGGTAAACAACGGCCTGGCTTAGCTACGTTTCCGGCTGTGGTCGTAAGTTGAGGACTACCTGTATAATTTGGTTTTTTTTCCTGGCCACAAATGTCTGGCTCTCAGGATTCATGACGGGGTCATTTGGGGGGGGGGCTCCAAATGCTACTCAGCTCTTTTGGCCGATTGCCTTCACTCCCTGCCCGATTTCAGATTATACACTTTATACAGCTATATACAATGGGAAGTCCGACGGTTGAGAATGGGGCTGCTCGGGCATCTTAGTGAGGACCATCTGCATGGTTGTCTTGTCAAACGGTTTCCCTAGCATTGCACCAGCGAAAACGGGCACCGTTAATACCAAAAAGCAAGCAGAATAAAAGAGCTGGAGGTCATCTAGTCCAACCCCCTGCTCAGGCAGGAAACCCTATACCATTTCAGACAAATGGCTGTCCAGTCTCTTCTTAAAAACCTCCAGTGTTGGAGCATTCATCGCTTCTGGAGGCAGGTAGTTCCACTGGTTAATTGTTCTCACTGTCAGGAAGTTTCTCCTTAGTTCTAGGTTGCTTCTCTCCTTAATGAGTTTCCACCCGTTGCTTCTTGTCCTGCCTTCAGGGGCTTTGGGGAATAGCTTGACTGCCTCTTCTTTGGGGTAGCCCCTGAGATACTGGAAGGCTGCTATCATGTCCCCCCTCGTCCTTCTCTTCGTTAAACTAGACATACCCAATTCCAGCAACCGTTCCGTATACGTTTCAGCCTCCAGTCCCCTGATCATCTTTGTTGCTCTTCTCTGTACTCTTTCCAGAGTCTCAACATCTTTTTTACATCGTGGTGACCAAAACTGGATGCAGGATTCCAAGTGTGGCCTTACCAAGGCCTTGTAAAGTGGTATTAACACTTCACGTGATCTTGATTCTTTCCCTCTGTTAATGCAATTTAGGATTGTGTTGGCCTTTTTGGCAGCTGCAGCGCACGGTTGGCTGATGTTTAAGTGATGGTCCGCTAGGACTCCGAGATCCCTCTCACAGCGAGTTCCTAGTGAGGGCTGGTCGGCTGGACGTACTCCTAGAGTTGACCACCTCTCTCTAAGTCTTGACAATCCCTGGGTCTTCTCTCTGTGACCTGCCTTCAGCTGTGCTGGTTGGGGGAATTCTGGGAGTTGAAGTCCGCACGTGGACAAGCTGCCAAGATTGAAGCCTTCAACCCTATCTCCAGCAACATTTAGAGTCTCCTTCCTTCCTGAAACTCTCTCCAGAAGCTATCCAGAACTTCCCAATCTCTCTCCAGAAGCTATCCAGAACTTCCCAATCTCTCCCCCCAGAAGCTATCCAGAACTTCCCCAACTCTCTCTCCAGAAGCTATCCGGAACTTCCCAAACTCTCTCTCCAGAACTTCCCAAACTCTCTCCAGAAGCTATCCAGAACTTCCCAAAACTCTCTCCAGAAGCTATCCGGAACTTCCCAAAACTCTCTCTCCAGAAGCTATCCGGAACTTCCCAATCTTTCTCCAGAAGCTATCCAGAACTTCCCCCAAAACCTCTCTCCAGAAGCTATCCAGAACTTCCCAAAACTCTCTCTCCAGAAGCTATCCAGAACTTTCCAAAACTCTCTCTCCAGAAGCTATCCGGAACTTCCCAATCTCTCTCCCCAGAAGCTATCCAGAACTTCCCAACTCTCTCTCCAGAAGCTATCCAGAACTTCCCAAAACTCTCTCTCCAGAAGCTATCCAGAACTTCCCAAAACTCTCTCTCCAGAAGCTATCCGGAACTTCCCCCAAAACCTCTCTCCAGAAGCTATCCAGAACTTCCCAAAACTCTCTCTCCAGAAGCTATCCGGAACTTCCCAAAACTCTCTCTCCAGAACTTTCCAACCTCTCTCCAGAAGCTATCCGGAACTTCCCAATCTCTCTCCCCAGAAGCTATCCAGAACTTCCCAAAACTCTCTCTCCAGAAGCTATCCGGAACTTCCCAAACTCTCTCTCCAGAAGCTATCCAGAACTTCCCAAAACTCTCTCTCCAGAAGCTATCCGGAACTTCCCAAACTCTCTCTCCAGAACTTCCCAAACTCTCTCTCCAGAAGCTATCCAGAACTTCCCAATCTCTCTCAGCCGTTGAATAGCTCTTGAAAGCTTCTGGATCAGAGACCTGAAACTGACACGAACCAATGCCGGCGGGATTTCCACCTTGCCCAATTTCCTAAAAAGGGTCCTGGCTACTCCATGAGGACCCCCTCGGCTGGGCACGGTGGATGCGAGGCAGAAAGGACGTCAACGTCCAAGTCAAGGAGGGTGGCGCTTCAGGAGACCTGGAGGACAGTTGGAATCCCATCACGGTCCCGTCCCAATCTTGACCACACCAGCAGCGCCCCGGCTGGAGATTATCTTTCTTGATAATCTGAGGTTTGGGGGATCTCCAAGCAAGTCCTCGCGGCCCATGGATTCTCCTTCCCAGGATGACTTCGTCTTTCCCTTCTCGTCTTCTGCACGGTTGGTTTGAGGAACTTCAATTCTTCTGGCGGGGGCTTCCCTTGGTCCCAGTTCTACCTTTCCAGCCCCACAGTGGGGTTCCCTTAACACTGGGGGTGGGTGGGTGGGTTCCTCTGTTCCCCACTCCCAGGTGGGTTCAAGACAACCTTCATTTGGGTGCTTCCACACATCAACCAGGATCTCGGCAACGTTTTGCCACCACCCCATGTCTGGAGATTCTGACGTTCCCTCGAAAAAGGGGGTCAAGAGGGATGGAGAACCCAACCTGGAACCCAAATGAGATCAGGGAGGTCGTTTTGGGGCCCTGCCCAGAGAAAACCCCCGGGGAGAACTTGGGTTGAGGAGCTCCTGAAGGCCACGTTCATCCACCTGGAACGGGTGGGCAGAGATGAAGTCAGCTTGTCCAAGCGAACCACCGCAGAATCGCCTCACGGCTCTGGTCCTCCGTGCTGAATTTCTTCCAAGCTAACATGGAGAATTTTAATAATAATAATAAAGTTGGAAGGGATCTTGGAGGTCATCTAGTCCAACCCCTTGCTCATATACCAATTTCGGACAAATGGCTGTCTGGTCTCTTCTTAAAAACCTCCAGTGTTGGAGCATTCACCGCTTCTGGAGGCAGGTGGTTCCACTGGTTAATTGTTCTATGGAACAGTTTCGATCCTCTGTTTCAACCTCATGACAGGTAGTCCTCGACTTACGACAATCTGTTTAGTGACCGCTCGGAGTTACAACGGCACTGGGGGAAAATGACTTATGACGCTTTTTCACAATTAACAACCACTGCAGCATCCCCCACGGTCACATTAAAGTTCAGATGCTTGGCAACTGACTTGTACTTATGACGGTTTCACTGTCGGGGGGGGGGTGTCATGCGATCCCCTGTGGCGACCTTCTGACCAGCAAAGTCAACGGGAGGAAAGCCGGATTCACTTCACAACTATCTTGCTAACTTAACAACTTGAGTGATTCACTTAACAACGGTGGCAAGAAAGGTTTGCAAAACGGGGCAAAAACTCACTTAAGAAATGTTTCCACACGGCAACGGAAATTTTGGGCTCAGTTGCGGTCGTAAGCCGAGGACTACCGTTACCACTTCCAGAAGGTCCATTTTGGGGGGGTGAAAGGGGGGAGGTGGGCAAAACCCCATTCTCCCCAAAACAACAGCCGCAACCACAGTGACAAAACTCTTTTTTTTTTTAAAGGATCAAAACATCCAATGCAGTAACAAAAAAAAAAAAGAGGTAGGGTCTCATTCAGGGTCCTGGCTGCCATTTTGACACCTCCCCAAAAGGACACCCTGATATCAGCCTATGCCAGGGGTAGGCAATCTGGGCTCTTTTATGCCTCATGGACTTCAACTCCCAGAATTCCTGAGCCAGCCATGCTGAGGGGAAAGAGAGAGGTTTCCAAGCTGAGCCATGCTGGCTCAGGAATTCTGGGAGTTGAAGTCCACGAGTTATGAAGGGGCCATAGTTCCATGTTGGCTGAGGAATTCTGGGAGTTTAAGTCCACGAGTCATGAAGAGGCCTTAGTTCCCCCATGCTGGCTGAGGAATTCTGGGAGTTGAAGTCCACAAGTCATGAAGGGGCCTTAGTTCCCCCATGCTGGCTGAGGAATTCTGGGAGTTGAAGTCCACAAGTCATGAAGGGGCCTTAGTTCCCCCATGCTGGCTGAGGAATTCTGGGAGTTGAAGTCCACAAGTCATGAAGAGGCCATATTCCCCCATGCTGGCTCAGGAATTCTGGGAGTTGAAGTCCACGAGTCATGAAGGGGCCAGTTCCCCCATGCTGGCTAGGGAATTCTGGGAGTTGAAGTCCAGCCATCTTAAAGTTGCTGAGGTAGAGAACTACTGCTCTAGTCATCTTTCTCCCTCTAGATCAGGGTTTCTCAACCTTGGCAACTTTCAGAAGGATGGACTTCAACTCCCAGAATTCCTGAGCCAGCCATGCTGAGGGGAAAGGGAGAGGTTTCCAAGCTGAGCCATGCTGGCTCAGGAATTCTGGGAGTTGAAGTCCACGAGTCATGAAGGGGCCATAGTTCCCCTATGCTGCCTCAGGAATTCTGGGAGTTGAAGTCCACAATTCATAAAAGAGCCCAGATTGCCTATCCCTGGCCTATGCTAATGTAAGAACTACCCCTTTCTTTCAAAGAGATGGGGGGAGTGGAAGCGGATCCCATGATGAAAGCACGCAATACGTGCCAATTCTCTGTCAGGGAGGCTCTCTAAAACCCAGGTGGGCCCTGCCACGTATCTCACATCCTCTGGCCACGTACAAAGTGCCGAGATCCACGTTTCAGTGGGAACGACCCATGGAATCCCGAGGCCTAGCTGGACAGCACCCATTTTCTTGAATTGTGTTATGGAGGAGCGTGAAGAAGGGAGGGGACGGGCTTCCTGGAGGAGGAGTGGGTGGGTGGGTGGGTGAGAAATGTGGGTGGGCTCTTCTTGGTCCCTCCAGAAACCTAAAGGTGGAATTATCCCTCCCCCCGCTCCCCCCACCCCGAGGAACCCGCATGGATCATGAACGGACAGATGGCCTCAGGAGGTCCCGGCCACGCTCAATGGAGGGAAATGGAGACCAAGGCAGCGGAAAACAACGATAGGGTTCAACGGAGTGGACCCTAGAGGGAAGGGGAAAGGGGGGTGGGTGGGGGGAGAAGGGTCCGGCTTTGGCCCCAAAGAAGTCAAAAATTAAACGCAAAATTAAAATCCGAGAGAGCGCGTCGGGTGACCATTGAGATGGGAGGGGGGGCGTTTTTCACTTTTGCTGGCAATGCCCAGATGCCCGGAGGGGGGGCTGCTCCTTCGCGCCAGGTTGCATCCGATGTCTTGACTCCAGATCTGTCCGGGAGGGGGGGGGGGAGAGAGAGAGAAGGAAAGGAGCAGAGTTTGAGACCCGGGTTCGAATTTCCCTCTCCCTCCTTTCAGCTTTTTCTCCTCGGCTGCACCAGAGGCACAAATGAATTAAAAGAGGCTCTGGGTGTTCGGTCATTTTTCCGAGCTCTTGAAATGCTCGATTAGTCTTAAATGTTGCATGAATTTTCTCCTTCCCCGCTCGCTCACTCACTCACTCCCTTCCCCTGCCTCTTCCTCCCTTCCTTCCTGTCTTCCTCCCTCCCTTCCTTCTTCCTTTCTTTCTTTGCTTCCTTTCTTCCTCCCTCCATTCCCCTTCCCTTCGCCTTCCATCAATCCTTCCTTCCTTCCTTTCTCCCTTCTTCCACTTTCCTTCCTTTCTTCCTTCCTCCATTCTCCCTTCTTTTTCCATCCTTCCTTTCTCCTCCCTTTCTTCCTTCCCTCCCTCCCTCCCTTCTGCCTCTCCCCCTTCCTGCCTTCCTGCCTTCCTCCATCCCTCTCCCTCCCCTCCTTCTTCCTCTTTCCTTCCTTCCTCCATCTCTCCTTCCTTCTTCCCTTCTTTCCTTCCTTCCTCCGTTCCCCCTCCCTTCTCCTTCCATCAATCCTTCCTCCCTCTCCCTTCTCCTTCCTTCTTTTCTCCTTCCCTTTCTTCCCTCCTTCCCTTTTCTTTTCCTTCCTTCCTTCCATCCTTCTCCCTCCCACTCTTTCTTTCTTTCTTTCTTTCTTTCTTTCTTTCTTTCTTTCTTTTTATCTATCTATCTATCTATCTATCTATCTATCTATCTATCTATCTATCTATCTATCTATCTATCTATCTACCTACCTACCTACCTACCTACCTACCTTCCTTCCTTCCTTCCTTCCTTCCTTCCTTCCTTCCTTCTCTTCTTCCCCCAATCTCCATAAAAAGACAGAACCCTTTAAGACACTTTGCCACCCAGCAAATATCCACCCTAAAGAATAGAAAAGAGTTGGAAGGGACCTGGGGTATTCTGGGAGTTGAAGTCCACCCATCTTAAAATGGCTCAGGTTGGGAAGCACCGCTCCAGGGCTGGGCTCTCCAAACTGGGCGACTTTAAAACTTGTGGACTTCAATTCCCAGAATTCCCCAGCCGGCATGGCCGACTGAGGAATTCTGGGAGTTGAAGTCCACAAGTCTTTATAGCTGCCAAGTCTGGAGAGTCCTCTTTCTAGGGCAGGGGTAGGCAACCTTGGCTCTTTTATGACTCATGGACTTCAATTCCCAGAATTCCTGAGCCAGCATGGCTCAATTTGGAAACCTCTCCCTTTTCCCTCAGCATGGCTGGCTCAGGAATTCTGGGAGTTGAAGTCCACGAGTCATGAAGGGGCCATAGTTCCCCCATGTTGGCTGAGGAATTCTGGGAGTTGAAGTCCACGAGTCATGAAGGGGCCATAGATCCTCCATGCTGGCTCAGGAATTCTGGGAGTTGAAGTCCGCGAGTCATAAAAGAGCCAAGTTTGCCTACCCCTGTTCTAGGGAGATCAGTCAACGTGCACTGGGGGGGGGGGGGAAAGAATGCTATAAAATGAGGGAAGGACTTCAACTCCCAGAATTCCTAGACAGCACGCAGAGACTTCTGGCCCTTGAAGTCCACCCCGCAGGGAGAGTAGCAAAGAGTGGATGCAAAGGGACAACAGCGCTACCAGACCACCCTTAGGGACTCCTTTTCCAATGTCTAAGCCAAGTTGGAGCTCTGGCATCACAAAGGCCCAATTTTGTGACCCAATCCTTCCGCAGAGGTTTCCCAGAAGAGGCAGGAGTTATCTCTTCAGTCATTGGTGTCTCCTGCTGGAGTGGGGGGCTGGACTAGATGGCCTCCAAGGTCCCTCCCAGCTCTCTGATTCTTTCTACCCACTTCAAAAGGATGAGAGTCTTAGACAGGGGGTCTTCAAACCTGGCCCTTTGATGACTTGTGGACTTCAACTCCTAGAATTCCTCAGCCAGCATCGCTGGCTGAGGAATTCTGGGAGTTGAAGTCCACAAGTCATCAAAGGGCCAGGTTTGAAGACCCCCTGGTCTTAGATGTCCCCTGGACCCCCAATTCCTCTGAGCTTGGCCTCCCTCCAACCAGCCCCCCCCCCGGGGGAAGACGCCCTGCTACTCACATGGGCTGGCCAATGGAATTACCAATGGGGAGGGATATAGCTGTAGGCGGGGGTCCCCTGCGCCCGGTACGTTGGCACTGAGACGGGATGCGCCCCCCGCGCGGTGTGTTGTGGGGTCGTCAGCAGAGTCCCTGTGACGGGGGGGGGGGGAAGGAAAAACAAATTTAGAATGGCCGCCGGTAGATTCCACCATTTTCCTGAAGCATCATGCAGCTTGGCTCACTGGCTCGAGCTAGCGGAGAAAGTTCCCCAGCTGGCTGTGGTCCCGAGGGTGGCCCCCAGGAAGGGCCGCCAAACTGAGGGGTCAGCCTGGTCCCGAATCTGCTTTTCTGCTCTTGCCTTAAGGTTTAACTTAGGAGCTACAGAATAAGTCTTGGACAAAGTCGAACTCGGCACCGCTTCGTTTAGTGACTTCATTTAGTGACCATTTCAACTTACGACGCCACTGGGAAAAAAACCCGCTTAGGACAGTGGTTCTCAACCTGTGGGTCGGGACCCCATTTGGGGTCGAACGATCATTTCACGGGGATCGCCAAACAACGCAGTCCGCCATTTTCTTTTCCCCCTTTTCCTTAGCTGTGCTACTCCCTTTTATTCTATTGGCTTTTGAAAGCCAATAGAATAGACTCTCTTGAATAGAGTCTAATTCTATTGGCTTTCAAAAGCCAATAGGAATTGTCCAGGCTGTCTCTGCCCTGCTGAGCCCGCCAAAAGTCCCATTCTGCAAACGATGCTGCACCAGCTGAGTAGTCCTCGACTTACGACCGGTTGAGTAGTCCTCGACTTATGACCGGTTGGGGGAGGGTCGCGGCATTAAAAAGGTTGAGAACCACTGGCTTAGGACCATTTCCCACACCGCCGTTGCAGCATCAAATGACCAAATTGCAGACACTTGGGTAACTGACTCGTATTTATGACGGGTCGCCGCGTCCCCAGGGGGTCACCTGATCCCCTTTCGTGACCGTCTGACAAGTCAATGGGGCAGGGGGAGACGGATTCACTTAACAACCATGTTACTCCCTTAACAACTGCAGTGATTCCTATAAGAAAAGCAGGGAGATCCTACAACGGGGCAAAGTTCACTTAAGGACCGTCTCGCTTAGCGACATGTTAGGATTGGGAAAGGCAAATCCATCCACTTAACAACTGGGTTTCTAATTGAACAACTGCAGCAGTTCGCTTAACCCATTTAACAACCGTCTCGCTTAGCGACGGAAAACCGGGGCTCAAGAGCGGTCGTAAGTCGAGGACCACCTGTGATGAATTTAATGCGTCGCTTACGAAGCGTTAATCTACTCCGGGGCTCCAAAGTCCACCTGGCTGGGCAGGATGGGGCCTGGAGTCCAGCAGACGGGAGCGATAAGTAAAGTTGGATGATGCTCGTGTGTGTGTGTGTGTGTGTGTGTGTGTGTGTGTGTGTGTTCCTTGGCCTCGGCCCCTGTACCTGCTGACATCGCCATGGTAGCCCCGGCCACCATCCCCATCGCTACGCTGTTGGTCCTCGGAGCAGCGACGGGCGCTGGGTAAATCGCCGAAGGGATGCTGTTGGGCTGGACCACCGTAGTGTGATGGATGACGTGAGGCTGAGCTGCGTAGACGGGCTGTGTGTAGTACGCCCCCTGTTTGCGGTGGGAGAAAGGACGCTAAGCGAGACGCTTCGGCAATGGCGCCATGCAGCTCCGTGGGTGGGTGGGGGCAAGAAAACATCCAAGCTTAAAGGGTATAAAAGAACTCACAGCTCCTCCTCCTCCCTTCTAGCACTGATGATGTTCCCTAGTTGGGTCATGAAACGTCTGCAAGAAAACCACCCAGCTCAGAGAGCACCAAGGACCCCACAATTCTCCTCCTCCTCCTCCTCCACCACCACCACCACCACCTCTCTGCAAACTCCTCTCCCTTCTAGCACTGATGATGTTCCCTAGTTGGGTCATGAAACGTCTGCAAGAAAAGAACCAAGCTCAGAGAGCACCAAGGACCCCACAATTCTCCTCCTCCTCCTCCTCCTCCTCCTCCTCCTCCTCCTCCTCCTCCTCCTCCTCCTCCTCCTCCTCCTCCTCCTCCTCCACCACCACCACCATCACCACCTCTCTGCAAACTCCTCTCCATTCTAGCACTGATGATGTTCCCTAGTTGGGTCATGAAACGTCTGCAAGAAAACCACCCAGCTCAGAGAGCACCAAGGACCCTACAATTCTCCTCCTCCTCCACCACCACCACCACCACCATCACCACCTCTCTGCAAACTCCTCTCCATTCTAGCACTGATGATGTTCCCTAGTTGGGTCATGAAAGTCTGCAAGAAAACCACCCAGCCCAGAGACCACCAAGGACCCCGCAGTTCAGCCCGGAGCTACCAAGACCCCCTTCTACTGAAACACCTGCAGCTTCTCTTTTGCCGGCCGCTGCTGGTCAGAGAGACGATGGGCTGTCCCAGACTCACCTGGGCATACAGGTTCTGCTGAGGGTAGGCACTACGAATGGGGTACATTGCCGTCTGATAAGGGCTGGGCGACGCAGAGTAAGGAGGCGGGGCGTTACTACTCTGAGTTGGAGGGACTTTGTAGGGCGTTCCAGCAGGGTATCCTGTGAAGAAAGAAGCAGACTCAAGGACCGGCAAGGTGAGAGGTGAATAAGTTCCCATCGTCCCCATCTCATTTGCTCCCCACCAGAATCGGCGTCCTGCTTCTAAAGCAGGGCTCTTCAAACTTGGCCCTTTTATGACTCGTGGACTTCAACTCCCAGAATTCCTCAGCCAGCATGGGGGAACTATGGCCCCTTCATGACTTGCGGACTTCAACTCCCAGAATTCCTCAGCCAGCATGGGGGAACTATGGCCCCTTCATGACTTGCGGACTTCAACTCCCAGAATTCCTCAGCCAGCATGGGGGAACTATGGCTCCTTTATGATTTGAGGACTTCAACTCCCAGAATTCCTCAGCCAGCATGGGGGAACTATGGCCCCTTCATGACTCGTGGACTTCAACTCCCAGAATTCCTCAGCCAGCATGGGGGAACTGTGGCCCCTTCATGACTCGTGGACTTCAACTCCCAGAATTCCTCAGCCAGCATGGGGGAACTGTGGCCCCTTCATGACTCGTGGACTTCAACTCCCAGAATTCCTCAGCCAGCATGGGGGAACTATGGCCCCTTCATGACTCGTGGACTTCAACTCCCAGAATTCCTCAGCCAGCATGGGGGAACTATGGCCCCTTCATGACTTGTGGACTTCAACTCCCAGAATTCCTGAGCCAGTATGTGGGAGCTATGACCCCTTCATGACTTGTGGACTCCCTCTTCTTTATGGCAGCCCCTGAGACACTGGAAGGCTGCTATCCTGTCCCCCCTCGTCCTTCTCTTCATTAAACTAGACCTACCCAATTCCAGCAACCGTTCCTTATCTTTTTTAGCCTCCAGTCCCCTAATCATCTTTGTTGCTCTTCTCTGCCCTCTTTCTAAAGTCTCAACATCCTTTTTACATTGTAGTGACCAAAACTGGATGCAGTATTCCAAGTGTGGACTTACCAAGGCCTTGTAAAGTGGTATTAACACTTCACGTGATCCTGATTCTATCCCTCTGTTAATGCAGCCCAGCACTGTGTTGGCCTTTTTGGCAGCTGCAGCACACGGCTGGCTCCTATTTAGGCGATGCTCCACTAGGACTCTGAGATCCCTCTTGCAGTTTAATAATAATAAAGTTAGAAAGGACTTTGGAGGTCATCTAGTCCAACCCCCTGCTCAGACAGGAAACTCTATACCATTTCAGACAAATGGCTGTCCAGTCTCTTCTTAAAAACTTCCAGTGTTGGAGCATTCACAGCTTCTGGAGGCAGGTAGTTCCACTGGTTAATTGTTCTAACTGTCAGGAAGTTTCTCCTTATTTCTAGGTTGCTACTAGGTTACTACTATTGACCCAGGTACCACCTATACTATACCTCTGCATTTGAGGTTTGTTGCCTAAATGCAGAACCTTACTTTTTTTTTTTTTTTTACTTTTTACTAACCATGAGCTTTTCTCAGTGAAATACATCTACTCCGTTTAAAGGGTTTTCAGACTATCGTGAGCAACTATCCAGAATGTGGGAAAACACAGCCCGGAAAAATATTTTCTGCTCCTGTTTGCTATCTAATTTTAAAGGACAGAAACATCTGCTTGCAACCAGCCCTTGGCAGCCTTAACTCACAGCGTTGTTTCGAAGCTAAAAACCCCACTTTTTCTCTAAGCAGACCCAAAGATAATATATTCGCCAGGAAATTCTGTAGCTTAAGATCGACTCTCGTCTTTTCAAAATTGTGTTCTTCGCCGTGAGCCAATGGGAGACTCCATATTTTTAAATACTCACATTTTTAAATACTCTTCGTTGTGGGTGTTGGGGTTAGACTGACATGCAGCCAGACAGGTTTTAAATCTAGCTGCGATTTGAGGTTGCTAAGCTCTTGCGTCCTAAATTTGGAAATTTATTTTAAAGCTTAACCCAGCCACGAATCCTCAGCGTCCAAATCAAACTCCTAACTTTTTACGTTACCAAACTGAATTTTGCAGAGTTTTTATTTATTTATTTAAAAGGAGCGGAGATGTTTTCGCAAGCTTTAGCAACAGGGAATACTCGACTTACAACAGTTCATTTAGTGACCGTTCAAAGTTACGACGGCACTGAAAAAAAAGGACTTGTGACCGTTTTGCATACTTAGCGACCGTTACAGCCTCCCCCAGGGTCACGTGATCAAAATATGGCTGTTTTACTCATATTTATGACGGTCGCAGGGTGCCGGGTTGACGTAATCCCCGTCTGTGACCTTCTGACAAACAAAATCAACGGGGGAAGTTGGATCCACTTAGCGACAGGATTCACTCAACTGCAGTGGTTTGCTTAACAACGGTAGCAAAAACAGATCGCTGGCAAAACTCACTTAAGAAAGCCACGCAAATTTGGGGCTCAGTTGTAGTCATAAGATGAGGACTACCTCTATTTCAGTTCTTAATGACGATGTACCTTACGGGAGAGCTTAAAGCAGGGGTCTTTTATGACTCGTGGACTTCAATTCCCAGAATTCCTCAGCCAGCATGGGGGAACTATGGCCCCTTCATGACTCGCAGACTTCAACTCCCAGAATTCCTCAGCCAGCATGGGGGAACTAAGGCCCCTTCATAACTTGCGGACTTCAACTCCCAGAATTCCTGAGCCAGCATGGGGGAACTATGGCCACCTTCATAACTTGCGGACTTCAACTCCCAGAACTCCTCAGCCAGCAGGGGGGAACTATGGCCCCTCATGACTTGGGGACTTCAACTCCCAGAATTCCTCAGCCAGCATGGGGGAACTATCGCCCCTTTATGACTTGAGGATTTCAACTCCCAGAATTCCTGAGCCAGCATGGGGGAACTATGACCCCCCTTCATGACTCGTGGACTTCAACTCCCAGAATTCCTCAGCCAGCATGGGGGAACTATGACCCCCCTTCATGACTTGGGGACCTGAACTCCCAGAATTCTTGAGCCAGCATGGGGGAACTATGGCCCCTTCATGACTCGTGGACTTCAACTCCCAGAATTCCTCAGCCAGGCACGCTGGCTGAGGAATTCTGGGAGTTGAAGTCCACAAGTCATCAAAGGGCCAAGTTTGAAGACCCCTGGCTTAAAGCAAAGGGCTAAAAGTCTTAAGTAGGTACTTTTTATAAAAACTAAGGATGACATGTGGATAACAGCCCAACCGGTTTCGACGTGGAGCGAATGAAATACAGGCAAGGGAGAAATTTGGTAAGTGAGTTTTGTCCCATTTTACGACCTTCCTTGCCACCGTCGTTAAGTGAATCCACAGTTGCTAAGTTACGCACACGGTTGTTAAGTGAATCTGGCTCCCCCCCATTGACTTTGCTTGTGAGAAGGTCGCAAAAGGGGATCACAGGAACACCCCCTCCCTTCCAGGGAGACTGCGATCGTCATAAATAGGAGTCAGTTGCCCAGCATCCGAATTCTGATCCCGTGACCAGCGGTCGTTAGTGTGAAAAACGGTGGTAAATCACTTTTTTTTTCAGTGACGTCGTAACTTTGAACGGTCACTAAATGAACTGTGGTTAAGTCGGGGTCTATCTGGATCCCCTCGAAAAGCAGAACCACCCAAACAGAAAAAGGCAGCTGTACAACAACAGACAGGACGAACAAACCAACACAGCCACACATACAAAAACAAAACATCTGTTTACCTGGGGCATAACCTGGAGCAGTGGTTGTGTAGATGTTTGGGTTGTATGTGGGGGCTGCCGTGGGGTATCCTGTGGGATAACCTGGAAAGGGAAGAGAGTGGATGGTTTATTAGGCTGGAAGGAATGACTTTGTGTTTTTATTAATTTTTCTTTTCATACAATTCAGTTGTATTTATTCCATAAATGTTTTGCCTTGAGTTTATCATTCACCCGCACAAATTTAATTCCTAATCCTTTATTCTTTTCTCCAGCCACTGATAAAATAAGTCTCAACTTTTGAAAGTATTCTGTTTCTTCTGTTTCTTTCAACCTCGTTTAAGTAAGTCTGTCCATTTCTGCACCTTCTAGTATATTTTTTTTTTCAATTATTTCTTCCTCTGATGGTATTTCTTCATTTTTCCAGTATGGTGCGAATATGATTCTTGCCACTATTATCACATGTAAAATCAAGTATATACTTTGTTTAATCAATCTTTTCTGACATTACACTTAGTAAAAAAAGTTCTGGTTTAAAATCTACACGTTTTCCCAACGTCTTTTCTAGCCAAGTGTGTATTTTTGTCCAGCACCTCTTTGCTTTAACACGTGTCCACCATACATGATAATAAGTACCTGACTTACTGTATTTTTGTGCAACACCTCTTTGCTTTAATACGTGTCCACCATACATGATAATAAGTACCTGACTTATGTATGCATTTCCAACATCTATCAGGCATATTTTAAAACATTTTTGCTAACCTTGTATGAGCCAGCAGTGTGCTGCAGCTGCCAAAAAGCCCAACACAGTGCTAGGCTGCAATAACAGAGGGAGAGAATCAAGATAATGTGAAGTGTTAATACCACTTTACAAGGCCTGGGTAAGGCCACACTTGGAACCCTGCGTCCAGTTTTGGTCACCATGATGTGAAAAAGAGGTTGAGACTCTAGAAAGAGGGCAGAGAAGAGCCACAAAGATGATCAGGGGACTGGAGGCTAAAACATAAAAGGAACGGTTGCTGGAATTGGGTATGTCTAGTTTAAGGAAGAGAAGGACAAGGGGGGACATGATAGCAGCGTTCCAGTATCTCAGGGGCTGTCCCAAAGAAGAGGGAGTCAAGCTATTTTCCAAAGCACCTGAAGGCAGGACAAGAAGCAACGGATGGAAACTAATCAAGGAGAGAAACATCCTAGAACTAAGGAGAAACTTCCTTACAGTTAGAACATTTAACCAGTGGAACAACCTGCCTCCAGAAGCGGTGAATGCTCCAACACTGGAAGTTTTTAAGAAGAGACTGGACAGCCATTTGTCCGAAATGGTATAGGGTTTCCTACCTGAGCAGGGGGTTGGAGTAGATGACCTCCAAGGTCCCTTCCAACTTTATTATTATTATTATGATTATATTATTATTATTATTATTATATTATTATTATTGCTATTGCTATTACTACTACTACTACTATTACTACTACTATTATTATTATTATGGATCATCGCACAGTCAGCCAGATGTTCAGACTGGATTTGGCATTTTGTCTACCTATCGAGTCCTTACCCAGGACCTGGGATAGGCAGTTGTGGATGTTTGATGGTATTACAGATCTCATCGCAGGATGGAAGCAGTTCCTAGTAAGGCCGCCTTTTGCAATTGACTAATAGCGAATTTGTCAATGCCAATGGTGTTCAAGTGGTGCTCCAGTTGTTTTGGGATTGCACCCAAGGTGCCTATGACTATTGGTACTACCCTTGCGTGCTTTTGCCACAGTCTTTCTATTTCTATTTGTAGGTCTTTGTATTTTGTTATCTTCTCCAGTTCTTTCTCTTCTATTCTGCTATCTCCAGGCACTGCCACGTCCACTCTCCAGACTTTTTTGTCTTTCTTATCGACAATTGTTAAGTCTGGGGTGTTGTGTTGTATTATTATTATTGTTGTTGTTGTTGTTGTTATTATTATTATACAGGTTTTCTTTATAAGAAATTGACACTGTCAATCTGTAATTTCTTTCCCAGCAGTTCTGCCATTTGTCTAAAAATCTATGTCGTATCCAAAATTCTTGGCCCACGTTATTATCATCGTTTCTTATTTAACTTGTTCATTTTCCATTTTCAAATTCGGAAAGGAAGGAATGACTTTTACCGCAACACACAAAAACAACACACAAAAACAAAAATCAGCTGTTCCCAAGAGTCCTGCTCAAAGCAATAAGCTGTTGAACTGAGTTCAGACTCCCCCCCCCCCCCCGAAGAGGAATTAGACCTACAGAATAATGAGTCGCGCCAGCCCTGGCTTAATTTATTTATTTTAATTTATCGCGCTCTCTGCCATTTCTGGAGTGCCTTTGGAGAGTTGCTGGCCTACCTTTTATTTTATTTCAGGTGCCTCTCTCCAGCTCTGACGTTTCTCCAGACAGTTTCTGCTAATAAAATCGGCTTAACGCCTTTGGGAAGAAATATAGCAACTCTGAGGTTGTTGTTGTTGTTTTTTTCCAGGACACGGTTTAATCAAAATTGGGGCCGGGAGGAACAATGGCCGGTGGACACACAGACACACACACACCCATGCGCTCCGCAAATGCAGGAGTCTATAAAGAGGCGTTGCTTTCTTCCTTGTTTAGTAGGATATGTGAATACAATGGTATCTTTCCTGAGGGGTCCTTGGCGTATCTCTGAGCTGGGTTGTTTTCTTGCAGACGTTTTGTGACCCAGCTAGGAAACATCATCAGTGCCAGAAGGGAGGGGGGTTTGCGAGGAGGAGGAGGACAACGATGACGACAATGGAATCCTTGGTGCTCTCTGAACTTGGTGTTTTTCTTGCAGATGTTTCATTACCCAACTAGGTAACATCATCAGTGCTAGAAGGGAGTGGGGTTTGCAAGGAGGAGGAGGAGGAGAAGGAGGAGGAGGAGGAGAGGAGGAGGAGGAGGAGGAGGAGGAGGAGGAGGAGGAGGAGGAGGAGGAGGAGAACGACGACAATGGAATCCTTGGTGCTCTCTGAGCTTGGTGTTTTTCTTGCAGACATTTCATTACCCAGCAAGGTAACATCATCAGTGCTAGAAGGGAGTGGGGTTTGCAAGGAGGAGGAGGAAGAGGAGGAGGAAGAGGAGGACGACCCATCTTCAAAAATGACCACGGTTCGGAAACACTGCTCTAATATGTAAAGCCGGCTCAGTTGAGTTAATGAGACTCGTTCCCTGCTAGAATAAATAAACTCTTGATTCCAGGCGTTCATTTTTACAAGTGTGGCATTCAGCCACTAAATCAGGTTAATTAAAATCGGGCAACGGTTCGTTCTGGAGACGCTGAGGATTAACATGGAGAGCTTGTCCAGGCCTGGACCGCCGAAGCGTCCCAAGAGCGGGCAGGATCCTGGCAATCGAGCATCTGAGCTGCATTAACAGAAACCGGGCAGAGGCGTGTCGAATGCTAATAGGGAGTTTTTGACTTAAGCCGAGAAGAAAACTATGCACAGTTGCCAACCAGATGGTAGATCTGGAAGATTTTTTGATTCGGCTTCTGAAATGGCGCCCCGGATGGGTCCATGTTCATCGGTGCTTTTTACAGCCAGAACTAATGGAACTGCGACTCCCAGGATTCCATGAGAATGAGGGATTCTGGGAGATGTAGGCCTGGGAAGCGCCAGCAAGGGCCGAGATTCTGGGACAGAGACGGCATGTTCCAGAGGAGGGTCCGATGAATAGAATTGTTGTTGTTAGTTGCAAAGTCGTGTCCAATCCATTGCGACCCCATGGACCACGTTCCTCCAGGCCTTCCTGTCCTCTACCATCTTCTGGAATCCCTTTAAGCTCACACCTCCTGCTTCAGTGACTCCATCCAGCCACCTCCTTCTCTGTCGTCCTCTTCTTCTCTTGCCCTCCATTTTTCCCAGCATCAGGCTCTTCTCCAGTGAGTCCTTCCTTCTCATCAGGTGGCCAAAGTCCTTGAGTTTCCACTTCAGGATCTGGCCTTCTAAAGAACAGTCGGGGTTGATCTCCTCCAGGACTGACCGGTTGGATCGCCTTGCAGTCCAGGGGACTCGCAGGAGTCTTCTCCAGCACCAGAGTTCAAAGGCCTCCATTCTTTGGCGCTCAGCCTTTGTTATGGTCCAACTTTCACAGCCACAGATTGCAACTGGTAAAACCATGGCCTTGACTATACGCACTTTTGTTGGCAGGGTGACGTCTCTGCTTTTCAGTATGCTGTCTAGATTTGCCACAGCAAATGAATAGAATAGAATAGAATAGAATAGAATAGAATAGAATAGAATAGAATAGAAATAGGAACGGAACGGAAAAGAATAGAATAGAATAGAATAGAATAGAACAGAATAGGAATAGAATAGAATAGAATAGGAATAGGAACGGAACGGAACGGAAAAGAATAGAATAGAATAGAATAGAATAGAATAGAATAGAATAGAATAGAATAGAATAGGAACGGAACGGAACGGAAAAGAATAGAATAGAATAGAATAGAATAGAATAGAATAGAATAGAATAGAATAGGAATAGGAATAGGAACGGAACGGAACGGAACAGAACAGAACAGAATGGAATAGAACGGAATAATAGAATAGAATAGAATGGAATGGAATGGAATGGAATGGAACAGAATAGAATAACAGAGTTGGAAGGGACCTTGGAGGTCCTCTAGTCCAACCCCCTGCTCAGGCAGGAAACCCTATACCATTTCAGACAAATGGCTGTCCAGTCTCTTAGAATAAGTGAGCTGTTTCCATAACTAGAAGAAATGTTACAATTGGACAAGGTGAACACCCGATGGGTGGGGACAAGGGAGTCATTTGTTTAACTAAGCAAGCCTTCCAGTGGGGAAATCAGACGTGGTTTTGCTTCTTCCGTGCCAGTGTAGATTTTCAGTAAAGTATTATACCCAGGCTCTTCCAACTTGGCCCTTTGATGACTTGTGGACTTCAACGCCCAGAATTCCTCAGCCAGGCACACATGAGGAATTCTGGGAATTGAAGTCCACAAGTCCTCAAAGGGGCCAAGTTGGAAGTGCCCTGTATTATACTCTTAGTAAAATCCTGTCGCAGAAGTTTCTTTTTCTGGAAATGCCAACTGGACAGCATTATGACCCTTTTTTC